TGGCTCCACTTTTCCAGTTCCTTTTTTGTATTTTTTGTTGCAAACAAAGAGCGAAAAGAAAAAGGAAAATATGAAATGCGTGAAGGCGGCGGCGAAGAAATGTATTTGCCCAGCCGTATGCAAATTTATTCACTTGGACGCAAATAATACAATTTCAATGGCATTAATGAAAACAATTTTCATAAATGAATGGAACCAGCGGCAGAAAGCCGAAAGCAAGGGGAGTGCCATTCAACGAGCCGCATCAAATTTGGTTGCAAGCGAAAAGTAGCTTAATATTCCCTTCCATTTTTTTGTTTTGTTTTATTTTTTTGAAGTTTTTTTTAGCTGCTTAAATTCCATTTCCATTTGGGAAATATTACTTACTGCACGGGGAAAAATATGGAAGAGCAAATATCTCATTTTTGAGGCAATATGATATATGGAATAATTTTAATCAGAAGCAGAGATATTTCATGGCTATGAAAACTGAAAATTATGAAAATAATATTATTTTTGAGTACAAAAATAGTAATACTCAAACCAGAATAGAATTTAATCATTAATGATTTTGAATAACCAAAAAGAACCCTAATTTCAAATGAAATAATAGGATAGTTATTACAAATATAAAGCTAAAATGAAAACCAAATTCCCATTAACTTAAAATGAATATTTACAAATTCATGAATTAAATAATATAACACATTGCTAAGAACTGGAAACTAATGTAATAAATAATGTAATAAATTAATGACCAATTCTCATTTATATTTTTTGTATATATTTCTCATGTTTTCTCTGTTTTTAAATCTCTTTTTTTGTACGTGGGAGTGTCCAAACTTTGACACTTGAAATTTTTCAGAAATCGACACGGCGGCAAAGTTTGCAGACGAATATCGAACGCTTCTGCTGTTTGAGGATTAGAAGTGTGGGGGAAAAACAGGGAGAGAGTTTGGGAAAAACTGCAGCTCATTCGGGGCGTTTATGGTCGCTTTGGCGTAATTTCTATTATTTTCCATGGCCGGCACTGTGGGCGCACTCGAAAAGCAAACAATTAAATGTCCAGACTGCGCCCGTGGGCATGCTGTGAACAGAACAAATTGAGGTCAGAACGGCATGGCCAACAGAACGGGGTGAAGCAGCAGTGGCGGTGGCAGTGGCAGCAACAGCCAAAAGGGGAAAACCCAAAACAACAGTTAAAAGAAAATTGGCTACCACAAAATGAAGTCGACTGGGAGCTGCCAGAGAGCAGAGAGCAGAGCTAGGAGAGAGAGCTCAAGGCTGGAGCTGAGGCTGTGAGGCGGCGGAAAACTGGGACCTGGCCATGGCCACACGCCAAACACTTGTATTTTTGGGGTCATAAAAGCAGGGGAAAATTGTGCTAATTAACCCTAAAAGAAAGCTTCTCCCAGGCGGCCGTCCCGTGTGTGTTTCTGCTCGTCCTGCTCCTCCTTCGGTGTGCATTTAAAATTATTTTGCACATTATTGCCGCTCATTGTTTTTATAACCCAATTATTATACAACAAAATGTTGTTGTTTTGTTCACTGCTTAGAGCGGGGGGCCTTCCATGCAAAAATAGCTTTTATGCTGTCAAGTGGCCATAACACGCATACGACACGTTGCCACCCGCTGCCACAGAACCCAAAACACAAAACACAAACGTAACAGCCACAAATATGAGTAATTAGCCGTAAAAATACAAACAATATAATATTTAGCATGTGATTACAGGTTGCTATCGTTATGATAGCCAGGCTACGAGCCCCCCAACAATGAATCACAAACAATTTGGCCAACTAACAACTTTTAATGTGTGTGTTGCCAGCAAAAAGGAAAATAAAACCCAACGACACACTCACATTTGGGAAAAATAAACAAAAGTGTGTGTGTGTGTGTGTGTATTGTATGCAAAAACCCAAAAGCAAACGAAAATTTCCGTTTTTTTTGGTTGGGAAGGGAAAAGAAACCGTAAACCATAGAGTGGAAAACACCTAAACAAACAGCACGTGGCTAGGATCCTGCTGCTCCTGCTCATATTGTTTTCGGCCAAGAAAAACAGTGCCACAGTCTTTAATAATTTTTGTTCTGTGTTTATAGTTGTCCAGGGAGGAGAGCGGGGGCAAAAAACAAATATATATAAAAGTGCTTATGCTGGGGAATTACTATCAAAAAGGCATTAAGCAGCCATATGCGGCAAACGATAAATGCGAGCAACTAAATTTAAATTTAAGCGGTTGCCAGGCACCAACCAGGCCACAGGCAAACATGGCATACAAAAAGTAAAGGGGGCACTTTAGTGCACAGAGAAAAATATTATGATTTTATAAAACGAAAAATAAATAACATATAGAAAACAATAAGAAAGAAAATTGACTTTGGGAAACCTAAATGTATATAAACTTGCAGTTTGCAATTGAATGATAGGATTGTATTAAAAATCTATCATAACTAAGCTTGAAATATTGGAATTCTTTAAATTGACATTTTTAAATGACAATTCAAAGTAAAAAACTCATAACTAAGCCAAGAAAGCATTAATTTTAATTCGGAAAGCGTTCCTATGTTAGTTTTTATTAGGCTAATAAATCTGCATACTTCATTTTAAATTTTAATAAATTTAATTTTTTATCAATTTTTTAAATTTTAAATTTCACATTTTTACGCCTTATAAAATGTTGAAAATTTTGAAAAATTAAATTTTGCTCGGACATAGCTAGATCGATTCGGCTTTTGATGCTGATCAAAAATATATATGATTTATAGGGTCGGAAATGACTCCTTACAGAGTTACAAGCTTCTGACTACAATTATAATACCATTCTTTGAGCGGATATTTACCTATACTTTATATGACAGTTTGTTCTACAAATCAAAATTTAAAATTCGCATAACTAAGCCAAAAATTCATTATTTTCGATTCGGAAAGCTTTCCTTTGTTCGTTTTTATTAGATTAATAAATATGCATACTAAATTTAAAATTTAAAATAATTTGAATTTTTATTAATTTTTCAACATTGAACTTTCTAAATTTTTAAGCCCTATAAAGTTGTGAAAATTTAAAAAAAAATTAAATTTGGCTCGGACATACCTAGAACGATTCGCCTGTTGATGCTGATCAAGAATATATATGATTTATAGGGTCGGAAATGACTCCTTCACATTGTTCTAGGCATCGGACTATAATTATAATATTATTCTTTGAGCTGAGATTTATCTATTTTTTATATGGAATTTTGTTCTACAAATCAAAGCTTAAAAATCTCCTAACTAAGCCAAAAATGAATTAATTTTAATTCGGAAAGCTGTCATGTGCTAGTTTTTATTAGTTTAATAAATCTGAATACTTTATTTGAAATTTTAATAAATTTACATTTTTATCACTTTTTCATCATTTAAATTTCATCTTTTTACACCTTATAAAATTTCGAAAATTTTGAAAAAACTAAATTTTACTAAGATATATCTAGATCGATTCGTTTGTTAATGCTGATCAAGAATATATATGATTTATATGGTCGGAAATGACTCCCTACAGAATTACAAGTTTATAACTAAAATAAAAAACCCTGCAAGGGTATAATAATAAGCTTCATTATAAAGATCATTAATGGGAATATATGTATAATTACATTCTGCTTTATAAGTTCTTTAATTTTTAAGAAATCCAATTAATCATTAGCTTATAAATAATATATATAACAAGTATATTTCTATGTATGAATGATATGTATATATTTATGTGTTCTAGTGTAGTTAGATAGGAAAGACATACGTGTGCGCTCAGTGGCGGATGTGCGTGTTTTTCGGAACTGACTTGGCTGCCACCTCGCAACTTCCTAATGCCGCAAAGTCATTTGGTGGCTTATGTTGCGCCTTTCGCCAGCGACAAACAATGCCCCCGACACGACCGGCAAACAAACGGCAAAACAGTATTGAGTTGAGGTGAAAAATATGCAAAAGCCAGCAGCAGCAGCGGTGGGAGTAGTGCCGAAAACGAAACAAAACCCCTTCCCCTGTACGACGGAAACGGAAGTGGAGGTGGAAGTGGAAGTGAGAGCGCTATGGGGGGTGGGAGAGGAGGAATGGCACACGCAAAAACCAGCCGCTGATCATTTATAATGCGGCACAACACGGCGTATGCGTAACATGCCTATACACCTAGCCACATCCCAATGAGTTGTGTGTTTGGTAATTCCTTCGGTCTGGCTTGGTGTTGCCATCGCTGTTGTCATTGCTGCGTGCGTTGTTGCCATTAGCCGAGGTTCGTTTAACGCCTGGCTAGGTATTCCCCTCTATATATGTACTCCCCCACATTAATATTACCATAGCAGACACACTCAGGTGAATGCTCTGAATTCAGAGATATACAAAAAAAAAATTATAAGAAGACTGTCTGATTTTTATTTGGCTTATTTATTCAGACAAGCTAAATTTGAACAAGAAAATAAAGCCAACTTTGGTACACCGATATGGGTATATCCAATTTGGATAATTAGGAATTGATAAATTTTGGTAAAAAGGCAAAAAGATCTAACAGGATATATTTAGAACATGAGATGATATGATATAATAATATGAACGGTTTTTAAAATGGTAATTAAAATTGTGTAAATTAATTCTATTTTAAATTTGACTATTCTCCCCATATTATATATTACTATGTTTATATATAGTAATCAAGCTTATAATATATAAGTTAAGTTTCATTAGATTTCACTTGCATTGAGCTTTTATCCACAAATTTACATATTGACAAGAAAAGAAAAGGTAAACAAAGGCAGCTTAATAACCACAATAGTGGATCGTATTCCTAAAGTGGATCGTATTCCTAAAATGGATCGTATTCTGAAGTGGCTCTCTCTCTCTTACCTTCCACTTTCAAGAGCGAGAACAAACGTTACTCAACTTACCCTTTCTACACAAAGTAAAAGACAAGAACAAGAGAAAACAAAATAAGCTCGCGAAATGTGAAAGAAAGATGATAAAAGAAAAAGAAAATGGTTTTATCTCACTCACCCGTTTACATTGTTTGCTGCTGCAGATCCCAATTGCGAATTAGTAGAAAAGCAAAAGAAAGAAAGAAGAATAAGTCTTGAAGTTTTTAGAGGTATGGCACGCTAACATACATTTATTGCACTTGCACATAAAAAAAACCAAAAAAAAAAACTTAAAAGAAAAAAACAAAAGCGGCTCATAACCTTCTGTTTTGGGGCTGCTTGCCCCTCACTTCACTGACATTTTTCACCACGCGAGATCACTGATTTTCCGCACTTTACGTATCTGCCACTGGCTTTATGTAGTTTTCCTTTGCTTTCACCGCTTCGGCGATCTTCTCCCTGGAGACCTTTTCATTTTCGTTTTCATTGTTCCTCCGTTTCGTTTGGCGATGTTGGAGGAACTGATTTCCAACATCAACCGGGAGAGCCGCTCTGCGATATTGGAAGGCGGCGATGTTAAGAGCGAGAGAGGGGATTTCGCCAATATCAGCTGGACACTTCCAAAAAGCTTCCAGTTTCGACCTGGACTGGAAACAAGATCCAATTTGTAGCTGATGAATAGTCGAAAGCTTTTAGCGTACTTTCCTAATTGGAGAAAAGAACAAAATATATTTAGTTAATAAGTATAAAAGAAACTAAGTAATTACAATTATTTTCTATTATTTTTTCGATCGTTCCTTTATATACATAGTCATCCGATGAAGCCTGTTCGACACTTTTTAGAGTATATAGAAAAACGAATATGGATAGAAATTGGCTTTAATACAAAAATAAGGTATTTTGACTGGATAAAAAGTTTATGACTTATCTAACTTAATTATATGTATCTTATCCTTAAAGAATAGACTTATTTAAAATCGATCATTTCTCTCTATAATTGTAACATCATTTTTATCTTTGTGTAAATTCCTTCCAGGATTTTTATTTCTCCTTCGAAATTAGTCTGTATCAAAAATTTCCAATCAATATCCAAAATTTTTGTGGAAATGGCAGCTGCTCGACTTAAAAGTGATTTCTATGCTTAAGAAGAATTCCCAGAAAATATATTCAGCAATATACAGCTCCCACAGTCACAGTCGTATTATTATTTATTCTTTTCCTTTCTTTTCTTTGACTTTCTGCGACTTAAATAGACCCGCTCACATTTCACACGAAAAGAGGAGGCGCCTGTTGGCGCTTTTCCTCGTCACTGCTTCGACGCTTCGAGACGATGATAAATTAATTGGTTTTTTATTTATGATGCCACGGCGTTGCTACTGCCACTGCCACTCCCACAGTCGCAGTCACAGTCACAGACACAGTCTCAGTCACAGTCACATTCACAGTCACAGTGAGAGGCAGGAGTACTGACACTCGACATCCTTGACTTCTGAGTATTTTGGCAAATTGTCGCTACCCAGAGACTGAGAAGCGAAGCTCCTGTCGATGTGTGTGAAATGTTCTTTTCTCACTGCCCGATTTTCTACCATTCCGTGCTAATTGATTTACGCCCCAGACGTTGGCTGTCATCGATTGATTGGGAGCAATAAACCGACTGTGGACCAGGTCAGTGCCAGGCCGAAAGACCAACAACAGAATGTGGCCCCAACTGTGACTCTCTCTCTATCATTCTGACAATTTATTAGCAAATGTAATGAGCAGGGTTTATTAGCCGTTCGGCTCGTGTTTGCATCTAATTGAAATTTACATGCTCACCGGACGTTCCAGCATATCCTGTCGACCACTACCATGTGTGTGTTAGTCCTGTGCTTGTGTAGGTGAATGCAAACAATTGTCATCATTAAAATAACGGCATGGATGCCAGGATACACACACACACGCACACACTGAGAGTGGGTTGTGCATCTGGCGAACAATAAATAAAGACAATTTGCAGCTGCAATTATTATGAGAACCGATAAGCCAGCTAAGCAGTTCAACATGTGCTTCGCAGGGGGTTCTTCTCCTCTGTGGAGGAGAACTAGGCAATATCAACAATAAAGACGCAATCCGACCCCCCATCACATCACTCCGGTTGCCAATGCACCGGAATCTGGGTCAGAGTGTGCCCGGAAATGTTAAGCAGTTTCTGGAAATGGTTAAGCCTAACAGCACTTAAAAGAACATCGAGGGAAAATATTATCGAAAGAAGTTGAAAATATATATTCCAAGTGGTTTAATCTAAATTTAATGGATATATAGGTTCTTTTATCACACATTTATAACATTTATTGAGATTTTAGATGATTTTGGCATTTAAAAAGAATAAGTGTGACCATGCTATGTGCAGAATACGTTTTTAAATAATTAAATACAATCTGAATATGCTTTTAGTATAAGTTAATTACCCTTTAAACTGTATTATAATACTTATTAAATCAGGAACTTCAATTTTTGGTTAAAAAACAAACTTGAGTTTAAGGAAATAGAGAATATTTTGGTTGCACGGAACACTTTATTTTGCCTACCTGGTAACACTATTCTTTTTATAAAATACGTTCTATATTTGATAAAAACATAAATAATATATCAGAACTTTATTTCCTTATGCTCATTTTCCCTTATAAACTTGCAAACTCTTAATATTTATTTTCCCTGTGCACTTTATGCATCCCAGGATCAGGAGCTTCATCAGCTTTAAGTTGTCACCATTGACAGGAGATGAGATTCGGAGGCTGCATTCAACTTCAAAGTGCTTCGAATTAGTCGGCACATGTACAATTATTTAAGGCCTGTCTGAGAGAAACGTTAAGTGCTCTGCGGTCCGGAGATGGAGATGAAGATGAAGAGAACTTTGAATGCCAGTTTTGGTGTGGCCCGAATTGCTGGCGAGCTTGGAGCTGGCCAGAGAACTTGTGGCCTTTGCCTGTGGCCGGGGCAATTTCGAAAACCAATTTGGCCAAAACCTGGGGAATGCCTTTGAAAACACTTGAAGCAGGCATCAGGAGTAGTAGCAGCAGCTGCAGTCTGCCATATGAGAGAACGTTCAGTGTCATTAGCCCCCATACAAAGCTCACAAAAATTAGACTAATGAATACAAATGGATATCTAGATTAATCCGATACTAGCTGTCGCCTTATTTATAGTACCCAGAGGAAGTGGGTAAAAAAAGCAGTGTCACTGTGACCCACTTGGGGGGCTGGATTATTTTTACCAAGGCAAACCACTTCATTAGCAAAGCCACAAAAACTGCACATCATTGTGGGGTCAAAATAGAAAGAGGACCAAGGCGAAATCAATACTAAAGTGGTGCCATTAGCAAAGCGATCTTCTGCCCTCTTCCTTTGGGTTCTTTATGTTATGCACCGCCGACACGCGAGCTCATTTCCCATTAAATGATAAACTGCCGACAGTTTTCACCACTCCACACGCTGTGGACTGTGCCGAGCTTATAAACAAATAATCATGGCGCATTTTAATGAGCAAACCAAGCGCTTAATAGTTAATGTTTGTCGGGAGACGAGGAGACCCGTCCTCATCCTGATCCCGCCGACAGCTGCCACAGCACGCGCAGGCAAACAGAGTCGCGATGAGTGCCAGACGAGAGAGCATTTAAGTTTTGCATGCTCTGTAATTAAAATAATAAACACGCGCAAAATGCATTAGAAAATTTTGCCAAGGGGAGCTTAAGAGCAACAGTAGTAGGAAAAGCAACAGCAACTACCAAGCCTGGCGGCTGAAAAGCTAGACAACGAACGGCTCACGTTGCGTATACGCAACGCTTGACGTTTGTTTGCTCGGCTAAAACGAGGAATCTCAACGAAAACTCCTCCATCTGCCACTGCTCCCCATGTGTTTATTTGCGCGACCAGGCTCGTGCTATTTGTGTTGGCTGTTTCACTTAGAGCGCCCTCGCAACCTGCCCTCAGGTGTGTCATTCCACAGTCCCCGTGTTTTCCTCTATACCCATGATTTTTCCCCACATTCAGAGCCTCTGGGAGATGGAGGAAAAAAACAAAAACCAGCAGCCACAACACAACGGATGCCTGCAATGGCCCATTGTGGTGGCATGCACCGTACACTTGACCTGTAAAAATGGTTACAATGCCAGGTTGCACAGTGAGCAAAATAGTTTGTGACCTATGACCTAGAAATAATTGGAATTTTACTAAAGGATTTGGAGAAATTTAATTTCTTTGTGTAGAATATATATGTTTATAGAGGAAATCTAACACAAACTTCGAAATTAAAGCTAAAGATGAAACATTTTAGAGATTGAGATTAAAATGTAATTTAATATTTTGTACTTATTAAGCTCTACTTTATGTTTTAATTGATTTCAAAGTATTTAATTTAAGAACTTATGATCTTATATTGTATTCATTCAGTATCCCCAAACATATCAAAACATTTCCTGTTTTATAAATTATTTTTCTTATCTAAAACATAACAAAATCCTAAATTCGAAACATATTCTTCAGTGTCTCTCTCTGAAAATCAGTAGAAGCTCCGGAAATGTTGAGGAAATCAAGGCTTAAGGTGACGTTCTACTGCCTCTTCGATTCTGGTTTGTTTGCTTGCTTCGATTCGCAACAAAATTCAATTCCGGCAAGTGCAACGAGTGAAAGTTGTGCCCCCTTTGAAAGGCTCAACCTTCTCCATTTACCCCTTATCCTTTTGCAATTTTCAGCATTTAAATGTTTCCAAGTACTTAGCAAAAATGTTGCTGCCAACCCGAGGGCAACACAATGAGACACTTTTGCATTTCCGTCAGTCGCACGCAGAAATAAAGCAGTGCTTCTTCTGCTAAACACTTGGTGACTGTGAAAAACGAAATGTATATAAAAAAAATACAAAAATGTTGTAACAAACAAAACAAGTGGGCGGAATGGGGGCGTGGCCTGGGGTTGACTGAGTGGTTAGCTGGGATGGCATACTGCATTACATCTGTAGACGTCAACTGTGTCAGCTATGGCTGATGTTGCAGCTGCAGATGTTGCAGCAGCAGTCCGTAGATGTTGCTGCTGCAGGGTTGAGGGTGTTGCTGCCGCTGCTGTGGCGTTGAGTGCGCCTGTCGACGCTCGAGTGTATCAAACACAACGGCAACATCAGCTGCAGCGAGGAGTGTGTGTGGGTGCACTTAAGAGTCACTGTGTCAGTAAACAACTGACCCACTTTGTGATGAACAGAGGGGAGCAGGGGCAGCAGCACCACCACCACCACCACCGAAAAGCAACAACAACAAGAGCTACCCACTCTATTTATCATATTGCATGCTGCGTAGCCTCCACAAAAGCGTAGCATACTTTTTTGGGCAACAAAAAACCAACGCGAGATAGATGCAAATGGAAATAGGATGCAGTGTTGTTAACTTTTGCCATCTGGCTATTTATTAAAATGGGGATTTTTTGAGGTCTGATTGCTAGCTTGCTTTTGAAAGGATTTTTTATAGATATAAGTAAGAAAACGTTTTAGCTATCTATAAGTTAAGTAAATAATAAAAAGGTCAGATATGTCTTTAAGAAATGTAATCAAATATACACCCAATAAATAACTAATCAGCCCACAAAGCTAACTCTATAATTTAAAAAGAGAATTAAGACAATAAAACCCCATTTACTTACAATTTAAAAATATATAAAAGCTTTAAAATTCTCCCCTAAAAAATTTAGCTATTTAATTGGATCGAAAAAAAGCAGGACCAACTCTGATGAAAAGGACATAAAATGTGTGGGGCAAGGCAGAAAGATAAAATATGCGGCATTTAAATAGCGCAAAAATATCTATGAAAATATTTTTGTTGGCCAGACAACAACTCGTTCCGCTGCCGCCGCAGCTGCTTGTGTTTGCATTGTTTTCATTATTTTCACTCGTGGCAAAATAAATACGTTTTCCATTATTTCCCCGCTTCGTGGGGCGTAGAATTTTTGAATTTTCACCCAGATAAGTGGGGAAAATGCTGCGCTGCTCTCTCACTCACTGATCCTGAGCGCTTTTCCTTTTGGCATTTTGGCAATTTGTCAGCGCTAATTTCGCGTTGATTATCTCCCACACACATACACACAGTATTTATATATGGATTGGCATTGTGTGTGTGTGTATTATGTAATCATGACTGCTCCACTTTTGGCTGTTTTCCTTCGGTTTTGCTTTGCCAAGCGCATTTTGCCGACGTCTGTGCCGCCGCGCTGACAATTAAATGAAAGTAAGATAAATTGTCGCATTTGTTTACAGTTCAACTTGTCGTTTTGTGTGTTTAATTTAAGCGGAATTTGTTGGGTGTGTTTTTCCCCTTGCCAAGGAGAGAGAAGGGGGAGGTTAACATCGACCAAGGTCGTGGCAGTTTAGCCGCCTTAATTTATTAGATACACGCCGGGTTCGCGCCGCAAATATTTCGCCAAGGATCGAAGTTGTGTAATTTGTTGCCAAGTAAGGGTAAAAGTTAGAAAACTATACCAAATATAAAGATTTCTCTTGCTCAGACCCTCATAACTTGTAAATAGTCATATCTCTAAGTAAGTAATAAGAACGATCTTTAATCTATTTAAATAGATTTCCAAATTAGTTGGCTGAAAACTCAACTTCCTTTCAAGTCTCGCTGGTTAACCCGCATGTCCTGGCTGCAAAAAGCAGATGCATGCGGGTGCCCATTAGCATAAACTTTAAGGACATCCCTCAGATACGCGGAAATTATTTTTAATGTCCTGCCGCCAGCAGCAACAAACAACAACACTTGCATGTGGCAGAGAAAAGAGTGCTTTCCGAACGAAGTTTCACTGCGGAAAAACGGGTGGGCGCCAAAGCGCTTTAATGACGACCGGGCGTTAAGTAATTTTCCTTGTATTTTCCGGCGGCGGCCGCATGCCAGCGCCTTTGGCTTAATGCGCTTGTATCCGCATCAGTTTCGCTGTCGCTGTACCTGTCGCAGCTGTTGCTTCTCCAGCTGCTGGTTATCCTGCCCCCCGCTCCTGCCCCTGCGTCCTGCGACCTGCGTCCTGCCAATGGCCTTTGGTGTCATTTGACTCGCAATTACCGCCCCCATAGGGCGGCCAATCCCCACTCCAAGGGCGACTCCTAAGTGGCCCACTCCCACGCACAAGGCTGCTGGCTCCTTCTTCTTCGTTTTCTACTTGAGGACAATGTAAATTTGATTATCGCTCCGGCAAATATTTGTCAGCCACTCACTAAGGCGACGAGAGCGGGGATGGGAGTTTTTCCTAAAAGGGGGCTAGATTGGCTCAAAGCTTTTGTCGCTGACATATTTATCTAGACGTTTTCCCGCTGACATTTTCACTGGCCGGCCAGCATTTGCCTTTCAATTTGCACGCAGAAAAATATCCAAAAACTTAATATTATATATATGTTAATAAAAGAGTTAAAAAACATATACATTTGTATATAAGGAGATTTTAAATCACCTTTATATATTCGGGGAATATTATTCGGGAAATGCTTAGCAGAGACTGCTAAATTTAAGGAATTAATTCGAAAAAGCTTTCAAAAGATTTTAAATCTCTTAAAAACTTATTATGCTGCATACATTTCATTTCAGAATACATATTCAAGAGAAATTATTCAAAACTGGTTTCTAAGAGAAAGTGCATTCAAAAAACATTTGAAAAGCTTTGAAAAGATTTTAAATCTCTACAAAAGCTGATAGAAATATTTAGTTTAATTTGCCTTCAAATTTAAAAAAGCCTTTCAAGTTAATTAATAGTTGAAGCAGATACATTTTACTTTAAAATATTTAAAGATAAACCATAACTAAAAAATACTCTAGAGGAAAAGTTGAGAAACCTATAAATATATATAAAATCGTTCCCAATTTGTTTATATTTTTTTCTGTGTATCCCACAAGCAAACTCAACTTTTGTTTAGCTTCTCATGATTAATTAAAACTTGCTTCCTATTTTTGGCATGTTGTTGTATTAGTCCTTGTTGTATACTCTTTTGTTGTATTCCTAGTTATTGTTGTTTAACCAATTGTTGTTCTTTTAGTTGTTGTATTTCTAGTTTTTATTGTATTTCCCATCGGCGTGTTGCATTGTTTGTTGTCTGTCCAGTGTGAACATGTTTCTTTTTTACCACGCAGCTTTTCAACAAATTACAGCAGGACCTTCGTAGGACCTACGTAGTACGTAGGATGGGAAAACCAGAGGCCGGAAAAGTGGGCGGTTTTGGGACCTATGGTATCCTTCTTTGGAGGGCGTGGCAACAAAAGTTGCGGGCAACGGATTTTGGACTCATTAGGCTCGTTCACACAGCCGTTGTCGCTGGCTGGTGTGAAAATTCAGCAAATATATATATATATATATATAGAGAGAGGTGTGTTTATATCCTTATTTGTCTCTGTGTGTGTGTGAGTGGGTGTGCCTACGTGTGTGTGTGTGTGAGTGTGTGTTTCAGTGGGCGGGCGTCTATGTGTAAACACAGGACTTAATGAGAAAAGAACTTACTCTGCTGTTTGAGTTTGGTTCCTGTTTCTGTTTCTGTTTCCGCGTTCCGTTTTCGTTTCTTTATTTTTTCCCCTTGTCGCTTTTTGTTTTCGGTATTATATTTAGTTTACACAGAGTTTCTCAGGTGTTTCAGGTGACAGACATGCAAACACCTTTTCGATTTATTGTCTCTTCCTTTTGCGGTTTAAAATTAAAATCCAATTCATTTCCACTGCAAATAGAGACAGAAATAAGATAATTCTATGGAAATTATGGCAGAGAGTTAGAGTATGGATTCTATAAAAAATTACTGCCGGAAAGCATTAAGCTCATAAAGAGAATAACAAGCGATTTAAATTAATTACCATAAACTGGCATAAATTAATGATTTTTTTTTTGCGCTACAGTCAAGATAATAAAAAATAAAATCTAAACTTTATTCCATCTAGATAAATTAATTCAATGAAAGATTGGTTAATGAGTAGAGCAGGGTTTATGATGAAGGAAAGGAAAACAAACGATGGAAAATCAATTGAAATAAAAAAAAACACTTCAAAAAAATAAAGATTGGGTCAGGAATGCAAAAAATGAAGGTTTTTTGTATTTTAAATCCGTTTTTTTGTATTAGGTTATCTAAAACTTGGTAAAAACCAGAAAAAAATCTTGAATAAAAAGGTAAACTATGAAATGATATTAATTAGCAGAGAACAATAAAAGTTTTAATTCTTCATAAATTTTAATGCAAAAAAGCATTCTAAAAGATTCAAGTCTCTATAAAATATGTCATTAAAAATGTATAAATGTGGCAAGAATTTCAAAGCTAATGAATTTTAATTGCTATAAATCATAAATTAACATTTTATAAACACTTTAAAATGTCTATAAAATATAATTGAATTCCTAAGTTCAATTTAAATATTATCCCGTTTAAATTCGCCTCGGATTTCCTATTTCCTATTTCGTGTTTATTTTATTTTCAAATTCATATAGATCGCATTTAAAAGAGGGACGTAAGCGGAAATAACGAGCTGAAACAACACTGCTAATTACTTTCTCATTATGCAGGCTATTTAGCTTTAATTACACTAAGCTCCAAGCCACGACAGGCGCACACACACACACAGGACTCGCAGGACACACAGGACAGACACACACAAACACAGAGGGACACATGGAGAGCGCACTCAAAGCGCTTCTAAAACTAGCAAAAATGAGGGAAAAAAAGAAGGACAGCGCTCAAATGCTCGAAATTCGCCGGGAAAAGTGGCAACAGCATTTGAGCCTTTCACTTTTCACCTGCCTCCCTCATTTTGCCTCCGGCTTTCTCCCGCTGGCAATTCCAATTTACAGCGCAAAATGTTCAGAATTTTCCATTTGAATTTTTGGTGTAGGCAGGGCAGCCGTGTAGGGGGATGTGTTGGAAAAACGAATGCTCTTGTGCGCCAATTTTCCGGCTCTCGGCTTGGGAGGAGGAGGCTGCAGCGCCAAAAAGTATGCAGCCATAATGAGGCGAGAGCTCACATCCAGCCGAGTGTCGGTGTATTCTTTACGATCAATTTTCAGGCTTTTCAATCCGGTCTCAGTTCGCCGGGGCCCTCGGTTAATTATATCAATTTAACAAAGAGCCCGGGGAGCACCTGTCTGTGGCAAACTCTTTTTAAATGTAAATATATACACAGGAAGAAGGAGTAAGTTATCTACATTATCTCATCAAGTATGGTAAAATACACTTTCATCTCTCACTAATGATCCATGCTTCCTTTTAAAAGTATGAATATTTTAATCAAATCCAGGTGGTTTATGAAAATTTAATTGGATACTTTAAACCCATTTCAAATCAACGGACAATGATTATAATTTTAATCCCCAAAAAATATCGCTTTTAGCTGACCCAAACTCTCTGCCAATATTTTCCCGCCGTGCATGTGTGTTGGCCAGGTTTATTTGCATTTTAATATGGCTCGTATTTTATGGGGCTTTCATATTGTTGTAGGTATTTACAATATATATGTATATACATTTTCCTTTTAAGCCGCATTTGTGTAATGAAACGAAAGGGATTACCGCTGGCCGACCACCCACCCAGAATCCAGTACATGGCAACCCTTAACCCCTTTTTCCTTTCCCCTTTTCCCTTGAAACGAAATGTTTAACGAAATTGAAACACATTTGCCTGACAGTTGCCATCAGCTTGGCTTCAATTTGATGTCAGCATTATTGACTGATCCTTCGGGGCCCGCCCAAGGATCTTGCATATATGTACATATGTTTACCCGAGGCTGAAACACTTCAAGTTGCCTAGTTAAAGTTAAGTGTCCGTGGGCGGGCAGCAAAGGGGGCGTGGCCCCTGCTCAATCATATTTCACATTCACCACTTGTCAGCTTTTATCTCGTTTTCGTCATCCCAAGAAGTGCCCATCTTATTCCCGAGCTTCTCTCTCTCCCTCGGTCTCCCTCCGGTTGTCATAATTTCATTATTTGCTGCGCTCAGGCATAAAAAAAGGGATATTGTCTGGCTGCCAGGATAACTCTGTATGTGTCTGTGTCTGTATGTGTCTGTGTGGGATGGGTTGTCATGAGCACGATGTTCGCATGTCCTTTCCATCGACGTCTGCACACGCATTTATTCTCAGCTTCTGTGGCAGTTGGCGGCCATCGCCAGGATGACAGAAAGTGTCTATACAAACAGCAGACAGGCAGACAGGACACAAATACAGAAGGACGAGGACAAGTTACGCACAAGGACAGGCAGAGAAAAAATAAAGGACCACGGTCTACCCCCAAGTTAATATTTAATTTATGTAAAGTTATTCAAAGTTGATGTTTTTAAAGGTTAGAAAGAAGTTTCTTAACGATATTTCTTAAAAAGTAAACTTGTAATTTATGTCCAGAATATTCTGTAGTGTAAGAAATAAATACTATGAGTATTTTTAATAGAGTTTACCCTTCCCTGTTCCATATAATTATTAATAATATATAGAGATTAGTGAAAATCTCTTTGATTGATGGACGATTACTACGTTTGACGTGCTCAATTGTGCAAGTCTATTTGGGTATATCCTCTGTCTGTTTTTTTCGAGTGCACACATGCGTGGCACATCCTTTTTCCAGCCAGTCGAGTTGACTGACTGACGCTATGGCCACGTGCCTCAAGTTATGAGAGCCACCGGCTGCCGAGTGTCCACCGAGCGACCGAAACTTCAATTTTAATTGGATAATTACTCATCCAATCCGAGGATTTAATCCCGCCTGAAATTGATGCACCGCACCAGCAGGGGTTGCTGAGCTCGGTTAATAGGGTTGAGTCCTGTGAGGTGAATCCTCGATGAATCCTTACTCAATGCTCTCTTTGAACCTGCTGCGGCTCAAGTGGTTGGACTGTCTGTCTGTCCCCGTGTGTGTGTGTTCGTAAAACGTTCTCGGAAAATTGCATCGCAATGGCTTCCAAATAGATGCACTCCCAAAAGGGGCAGCAACTTGTTGGCTGCCACGCACAAAGTCCATTCAAAATGCATTTGAATGGGGACCGGATACGGATGACACCCGGAATGTGCAGCAATTGAATGCCAAAAGGGGGTAAAGCTGCCAAATGGCCAAATGGCATTTCCATTCACAAGTCGCCGGCATTAAATGCTCTCCGAATTGCAGCTGCATGCAAATGATCTCCCCAAACAGTTGCCATGCACACAAATATTATATACTCTATTACCAGTCTTTATCTATTATCTGCCTCGACTTTACTCTGAAAGCTGTGTGTGTTTTCCACAACCTCAAGCTGAATCTCTTCGTGTTTTCCTTCTTTTTTTTTAGCTGCAGACAATTGACATGGCAACGGGTCAGCGGAACTCACGAGTTGCCAGTACAAACAATCTGAGAGAGAGTTAAGTGGTGTAATATTTGTAGTGCTTAGAAGTTTCACTCAGGGAAAAATATATATGAAAAATATATATTTTAAGGTTGTAGGAGGATTTCCCTTAATTTTTATGTATTTTAAGAGGATATGTAAAGAGTAAACCGCCAAGGATTCTATTTGAATAGAGTAGAATTTATTGTACTTAGTAGTATAGCATTTGAACTATATTTTCTGTACTTATGTAACTGCTTTAAATCCTTAAATACATATTAATTTATTATTATTTTCAGTAGTTCCTAGTCTTTAGATTTCCTACTATTTTTCAGTGCAATTTTCCCGAGAACAAGGGATGCAAAATCATTCCCTTGAAGCCGCCGCCGACAAGCACTGAGGCATAAACTCAATATTTTCATCTTTTATGCGCTCTGTCGGGTTTTACGCTAGGATTTCTAAAGGCACAGGAGATACATATCCTGCGAATCCGTACCCAAATCCAAAGCCTGTCTGCCCTTCGTTGATTAGAATCAACATAAATAAAATTAATTGTTGCCGGTTGAGTCGTCAGTTGAATTGGGGGTTGCATTCAATTTGATTATTAGCTCAATTCAGTCAACCTCGAAAAAGGAAGGACGACACCCCTGGTCCTCGCCTACTTATTTCGATTTTGTCGTTGGGCTAATTTTCCTGTGGTCCGAAATCCCCGGAGACCTCGCTTGGTTGCCACAAAATAATTATAATTTATTTACAGTGCCCCTCTGTCTGTCTGTCTGTTTGCTGGACTGAAAGTCTCACTGTTTGCTGCTTAATTGCCAACTTCTACTTCAAAAAGGACCTCCACCCTCTATAAATTGTGTGCAATTGTTTCCTGAACTCGGGGCCATTGCATCAGGAAATTAAACTGCGATTCGGACCCTCTGTTTCTGACTGCCTTCAGTCTCATCTGTATGCAGCCGGCAAAATATGCAGAAATGACATGCCTCCCACGGCAAAACACTGAGAGAATACACAACAACATTAGAAATTGGGTTAATTATTACATTTTTACACATAATTAAACCCTTATTAAGCGCTGAGCTTACAAGAAATATTTATAGTATTTTATAATAGCTTAAATTAAGAAGATATATTTTTGGAATCGTTTTTCTTCATTGTAAAAATTCTCAAAGAGTAAATATATAGCATCCAAAGCCTAGAAAAGTATAAAACAATATTCCAGACATCCTAAGTTTAATCTTAATTAAATTTCTGAGGAATACATTTTTCCCCTAGTGCATTCCTATTCCAACTCCTAAGCCCAGCAAGTCCCTGCCGCTTTTCCAAAATCATAAATTACACCAAAAACTGACCCCCAAGCAGCGGGAATGCCGAATGTATTATGCAAAATGCTGGCCAACGAGCTCTTGGCTGAACTGAAATTAAATTTCCAAAAGGCAGACTCACACACACAACAGAAAACACACACAGAAGATGCAAGACAATGAATCGATAATTTATAAATACTCGGCGATGATCGTTTTGGAAAAGCCGTGGGTAACCGTGGCTTTAGGTGGACAAAAGCTGCATTCATTTTGAAATAATCAACGAAAATGCTGAAAACCCAAAACCTAAAACCCAGAACCCGAAAAACCAGTAAACCATTTGTGCCCCGGCTGCCATTCGAAGTGGGGCAGCACTTGAAATGCAGTCGTTGTGGCAACCAGTTGAGCTGCAAGCTCCAACTAGCTAATGGCTGGGTTTTTGGCATTGAATCGGTCTGGTTTTCGGCATGATTTCTCAATTGATTGCAAGTGGCGGCTCTCTCTCTGGACAGCCAGGATCGGAGCCGGAGCTAGAAGAGTCCTGTCATGCCTAATGCTTATTACCAACACTTGGACGCTTGGCAATTTATGCAGGACGATGCGATGCGATGCAGATGCAGCTGCCAAAGCTGCTTACGTTGAGTCCTTGGCCAACTGCCCATCGGCCAGTCGATTTATTATACCCTTGAAAAGGAGTATCACGGACTTGGCTGGCATTGTAAACTCCATAATCTTGATCAGAACTTATCAGCGAGGTTGTCCCTTAGTCCGGGAATTTGTTTCCAGGATAGGTCTCCTCCCAATTTAAGAGAATTTTTAGCTTGAATTTCTTTTAATATATAAGTCATGGAATAATCCTTCTTCATAGAGTATTTCAGGTTTCTATAAACTCCTCCAGCCTGTCCTGTCCTGTTGTTTCTATAATTTTAATTGAAGCTACGCACAAGAGAGACATATAGAGAGAGAGCGAGTGGTTTGGGCTTCTCGAAATTGGAATGCATTTTTGGCAATTTCCAAAACAAATATTGCTCGAAAGGATCTGGGAGTAAGCTGCTCCTGCATGAAGCCACCTCCATTTTATGCTCAGGTGACCAGTTGGGCATCTAGCAAATAGTTTAGTGCACGAAAGTGCTTTCAACACACACACACTCTGACTATGACAGGGATGGGCACTTGCTCCGTAAACATGTTATGTAATTAAAATGCCTGGCAGATATTTTGGCCAAACATTTTGCGGCTGCTTTTCCGCTTTTGTGTGCCAAAAATATTCCTTTCCAAATAACTTTGGAGCTGCTCGTTTTTATGAGAACGCCAACGCCAACGAGGCCGACAAAGTCTCCGACTTTGCTCGTAGCCCCCGAAACTTTCTCAATGGAATGCCCCAAATTCTGGCAAAGCTTTCACCACTTTCACGGCAGAGAAGCTCTCCTTTTTTTCCTTTTTTTTAAGGCGTCTCCTGGATGGTGCACTCTTATAGGGCTAAAAATAGCACAAGAGCTAAAAATACGACAAACTCTCTTTGATGTTTAAATGAATATTAAAATAGATCAGTTTAATATTAATACCAAAAGGTGGTTTTAAGATCTCTTTTGAATTCTTAATATCTTGTTTTACCATTGCTTCCACTGACGGTTATTATTTAATTTATTCTTTGCAGACGTCACAAATCTGGACTACGTAAAGGTGAATGCCGAGGCGGGCAAAAACGTGACCATTCCGTGTCCTGGGGTCAACGAGCACTCGCTGGTGGACACTCTGGTGTGGAAAACAGCCTCGACGACCATTGCCCAGTTTGCCAATCGGATACCATTGCTCCACAGTCCAAGGGTGAGTTATTTATATTGAATTTTAATAAATAAGAACGCTTAAATTAAGGAGAAGAAAATCATTGAGTTACTAGTGAAAAGCCTGAAGAAACCAAATTCTATGAGTTATTTGGTTACTATTTTGAGGTAAAAATGGAGTCTTTTCCCTAAAAATATATTCTAATTTAAAGATGATTTAACTCTACTTTAAACTAAATAAATAAACCGCTTACGACCCCTTTTAAAGCCTGTAAAAACATCACAAATTTAAGGCTTTTCGTCTCCTGTAAAACCCCCAGACATTCCCAAGTGCAATTTTCACTCAAAAATGGCACTCCCGTGTCATATTAGAATTCATTTCGACACTTAGCGCCCTTCCCCCACCCTCACCACCTCGCAGGACTCAGGCTGAGGAAGGACCCTCTAATATATATGACCCTGCCTGGTGCTCAGTGCTCGGTGTTCAGGGCAAAAACGAAGCTGTTAAAATAATTGATAGCCGGCTGCCGGGCGGCTGTTTGAACTTTGCCCTTCGTCCTCGAACTGAAGGCGATGAGTGCAAGAAAGTGCAGCGAAAGTCCCGACAACTAAGTGGCCATCAATGGGGTGGAGCTCAGGACTCGGAAGTACAGAGCAAGCCGGCGCGCGGCTAATATATTTTAAATGTTTGATAGTTGCACTAAAACAAAAGCGACATGGCGCAAAAGGAAAAAATAGGGAAAATAAAACAGAAGCAGGGAAAGCGTTCAAGTGGCTGCCAGATGGCAGGAAACAAGAGAGTTGGTAGCTGGGAGTTGGGATCTGGGCCCGAAAGCAATTGCAACGGCCTTAAACGCACTCGGGGGGCCATTGAGGCGGCGCAGGAAGAATGATGAAGTTGCCTCCGATTCTGGTAGCCAGATGATGAAGGACCCCAAGATGTTGGCACTGCGAGAAAACTACATACATATCTACTTTACTTCAATAAATAAATTCATAGGTTTCTTAAAATTTACCCTCTTCAATTCGTTTTCCTGTTTTTTCCTTAATCTGAGGATAGTTTTTAGATGAAAAGATTTTAAAGAGGATTAAAAGTAAAACAACATTTCAGGGATATTGTCTTGTAACTAAAGGTCAGAGGGAGCTTCTTTGAGAGTTTGTTTGTCTATAAAATATGCACTGCTTTCTAAAAACTAAGGATAATTTTCACAGGAGATAATGTATAGAAAGCCTTAAAACTATTAGCAAATATTCCATGAATTTTACCAATTAAATTCCCCTTTAAGTTCCTGTTTAAATAATATTTTTCTAGTGTTTCCTATAATCTATTAATAATTTTAAACAAATAAGGTTTGAAGAACGCATTTAAATTATAGAAAATTGCCAGAATATATTGTCCAAACAATTTCCCTATGATATGCTCAATTTAGATAACCTTTTCTCAGTGCTTTCCCTAAGCTAAGATGCCTTTTTCGGTTGTCTTTAGACTTTTGAGAGTATTTTTTCCAAGTGTAACCAGCAGATTCTTGAGCCTGAGCTGCAGGAGCGGACTAGAGAACCGGCTATGTGTTAAATGGCAGACTGGGACACTTGAGCTGCAGCCAAAGTTGGTCCCAATCCTGCTTCGTGAGCTCTCGGCTCGCATTTCTTGGCCTCCGCCAAGTTGCAGGACTGCAGGCTGCCTTCTTGGCCCGGCTATTATGTGTATTAAAAGTTTTTCACCTTGGCACAGTGGCTGCTTCATTTTATTACAACTGACACATGACCCCCCGGCACACACACCCCCTGCACCCTACACCCTGCACCCTATACCCTGCGGACCCTGCTGGGCTATTAACTTTTGTTTTATGGCCAAGACTGGAAATGATTCATGTTTGCACAAGCTAAGCGGACTAAGGAGATCCTTACCAGGGATTTGCCGCTACTCGCTCGAGTGTGTGTGTTTTATTTTCTACAAAGAAAACAAAAAAAAAAGAAGGGGAAAATACTTTCCTCAAGTCACCACTCACTTGGTCATGTGGGCGGCGGTCAAAAGGGCGATGAATGTAATTAGAGTTTACTACAAAATCGTATTGGAAATTAAAAATTCCACATGGTAAATTTTCTGGCAAATATTTCCAGGACTAAGTCCTGCCTGCCTTTCTGCTGCTGTAGCCAGTGTGCAATCGAGCGGCAGAATTTTCCCCCAAAATATATGTATATATAGACAGGGAAAGGAACTGAAGCTGAGGCTGAAACTGAGGCATTTCAAGTTGTAATTTGAGGGCATACAGTGGCAAGGATACAAAAGTAAATAACAGGGTCAGGCATGCGAAGATAAACCAGATACTTTAACTGCAGCAGCAGCAGCAGCAGCAGCTAACAGATGGAAAATAATTTAGTTTTCCACATTCGAAGCGGCTGTAAGTTCAAACGAAATGCATATCACAATAATCTGTGATGAAAATCCTTATTAAATTTCGGGCCATAAAGGTACGGAAATTATTTGTTGAGGAAAAACAAACAAATCCTGGATGAATTTACTGCCAATGCAACTGGCTTTTGGCTTAAAATTAAACTAGGGAAGAGAGAGATACATAACATAGTTCAATTATGAGCCGGAGCCAGCTTTGTGGCCAAAACAAATTTGGCCTGAGACAGTATAATTTTTAGGCCGGGTCGATGACATGCTATGCCTTTTGTTTGTGCTTCGGCCACATACTATATATGTAAGTTTTCCTTACTATTAAAAACTTTTTCTGGCCTGTGCAAAGTGGAAACTCATGTCGTCGGCCGCCTTGTTATTTGTCAGGGGCTTCGCTTCACTCTCGGTAGATTTTAATTTTCCAAATCGCAAATATATAGAGGGAGGAGGAAACGTAGAGAGAGAGTTATAATTAAGTTCCCTAAACTCGTTGCAGATACAACTTTTATCGGACAACTTTGGCCTGCAGTTTACGCCTTCCTTGGCGAGTGATACATCGGAGTACATTTGCCTGGTAAACGATCGGCATATTCCAGAGGCTATAGTCGATTTACTAGTGCAAGGTAAGGATATTATTAATATTACTATATTTAAAATCATAAATTACTTTACTCTTTAAAATATTATTATAACCCTTGAAATATATTATCAGTAATTCCCTCCGTTTTTCCTTTAAAATTCCCTGCCTTTTCTCGTTTGCTTTCTTAATGAAACGCTTAACTACTTTTAATGATTTTTCCGGTTTACTTGGCCAACACATCCCCCCCTGTCAAGGATTTCATTTTCCGATATGTCTTCCTTACACTGCCACCGGACTTGCGTTTCATTTTCCTTTTCTTTTTTGCTGTATTATTTTTCCTTCGATTTCTCACTTGTGTTTTCATTGTCGTTGCCTCCGCCTTGACATGATTTCCATTTGCATTCCACTGATAGCTGGCAGTTTTCCCAATGCTCCGCCGATTCTCCATCTCGATTTCATTCTCCATTCTCAATATTTTTCTCTTCCCTGCAGATGTGCCCGATCCGCCGGAGCGTCCATTGTTGATAAGTTTCACATCACGCTCGGTGAACTTATCCTGGGCGCACTCGCAGCATCCGCGGAATGCGCCCGTCACGCATTTTATTATTGAAACGCGGTAAGTGTTGCCACCGAGAAATGAGGAGATTCACCAGCAGTGGTGACAACTCTGGCTTACATCAATTACCTTGACTTAAGTGAAAAAATTCTAGGAAAAAGCAGGAAAAAACTAACTTTTATAATCGATAAATATCGATTTAATTTGTGAGAAATAAAGATATTTCATTCGAAACGAGTAATTTGAACAGAAACTACAAAATATTACTTGGAATTTAAGTTAGAATATAAGTGACTAAGCATTAAATCTTTGATTAAGGTATATTCTGTAATATACCTTTCCATAAAAGTTTCAGGTTATAAAAATGGTATGTTATGTTATAAAATGTTCCCTGCTCTAAAATTAGGAATATCCTGTCTCAATTAGAATCAGCTTTAAAGTCGATTTTAAAACAAAAACTAATAGTAAAAGGATATTTTCGATGGATACAACTATTGCAGTATACTAATAAATCAATATATCATAGATACAAGATATTTTCGATAGGCAAAACTATCGCAGTATGCTCATAAATAAATATATTATAGATACGATATATTCCCGATAGATATTCGTAAACTATAGCTAAAGAATCGTTTAAAAAATAGCTAATTCAGCAACTCCTTCCCTCTGTCACGATTTGTTTTAAGCTGATGAAGTGCCCTTGGAATGCTTTGTATTTGCCTGGGGGAAGGGGAGGATTGGAGGATTGGGGCGGCTAAGTGGATGCTGTGGGCATCCAAGGGCGCTGCTATAGCTGTCCGTGGCGATGATGGCGATGATGGACGCGCGGCCATGATTGACACATGCAAAGGCGCATTTGCCAAAGGATGCACCAACTGCGGCTGACCCCATTGCGCTAATGAATTAGCGGGCGGAGCGGAAGAGAAGGATGCACACACACACACCAAGCAGCTGGCCACGCCCATTTCCGCCTTTGACTTGAACTCAACGCCCACCTGATTTTCGCATTTATGAAAAGCGGAGAGCATCGACGGCTTTGGCTGCAGCGGTGCATTCAATTAAATTCATGCGTTTATGGCTGGCTTACTTGGACAGTCGAGGTTGAGATTATAGGTCGAGGGATATTTGGGGATAGCAGAAAATTCAAGAGGATGAAACTATGAACTAAAATATTTTCCATAAGATAACTGACCTTCTTGAGGCATACCAGTTCATTGTTTTGGGCATGTTCAAAATTCCTACATTTATCTAAGAGCTTCAGATTATATTTATAAAATCTTGTGCTTCTTTTTAACTCTTTATAAATAAATAAAAAATAATATATTGCAGAATTTGTGTAGCTTACATTAATTTTCATTTATAATCATTTACTCAAAACCAATGAAAACCTATTTAAAAAGAAGTTCCCTATATTCCACACCTTGTAAACTCTCTATAATAACCCTTTCTTTCCCTGCAAATAACTTTTACATTTCTGGCGGCCACTGTAAATCTCAGATCCTTACACACACACACACACACACTCTCTACCTTGGTGGTCCTTTAATTAATATGTAAAGGGATGACGACGATATGCATGACTACGGGGATACGCACTTCACTTGTGCTCCATTTAAATAGAAAAGAAAACACTGGCACGCACACAGAACCGCCACCATCTGTGGGCGTAAATGGGGTTCCCCGGGTTAAGTCGAGCATATATCCATACAAACACATATATCCATATATATAGAGAGAGGAGAGAGTACGTATACGCCACGGTGTACATCGTATATGACTGGCATTGTGCGGCGCTGGCTATTTTCCGAATAACTTGAACTCAATGCGGGGCATGAAATATAAAAGCAAGCGAAAGCCGTCGCCGCCAACGCAGCACAAAGGCCAAGCGAAAATGTTGGAAATACAACAAGAAAACAACAAAAAAAAACGCAGAAAGAAAAACCAAAAAGCGAAACTTTTTCAATAAATTTCCATCAACTGCAGTAGCACTAGCAGTAGGACGACGCTTGGTGGGCGTTCCTTTTTCCGGGGCAGGAGGGGGGGCCGTGTCCTCGACAAGACACTGGGGCTCCCAGTACAATCGATGACAGCCAACTGGAAAGCAGAGCCTGCGGTGCATTTATGCAAAATAAGAAATAACTGCACCCATACACAAACACACACGGTGCGGGGAAAAACACTGAAAATACTGAAAACACTGAAGGAAATGTGAACACGCGCCGCCGCCTGCCAAGTGTGCATACACGGGGAGAAATTATAACTTAAAAGATTTCATAAAAAATTAATGAGGAAGCAAAAGATTTGACTTCCTAACAGCTTCCTAAAATGTATAATTTTCTATTGAATAAAAAATTTAGAAAACGTTTCCGTGTCTTATGAAACTTCTCGCTTTTGAGTAAAAAAACACTTTTCCTTATTGCTTTTCTGCAAGATCTCTTTCTGCTCTCATTTTCTATCTTTTGCAGGATATAAATGAGAGCAATCACAACTGCGAAAGCAGGAAATCTTTTTAAATTTATTGGGTTTTGGCGTGTAATTTCTATAATTTTCCCCGCTATTTTCTCGCACTGCCTTGGTGCAGCTCATACGCAGCATAGCATACTTTTTTGGGCAACGCGAACACACAGAAAATGAAGCTGCCCCATCTCTTCAGCTCTGCATCTCCAGCAAACGCGGGCCTGCAGACTGCATTTTATGTAAATTCCCATCGACATGGGAGTGAGTCGAGTTCTTGATGCCTCTCCACTAGCCTGTACTCCCGGATCCCTTTGAGGCACTGCACCCACTCCCACTCCCACGCCTCTTATTTACATTTTCGCTTGATTCGGTTTATTTGCGCATATGAAAACGGGGCTGGGGGATGGCAGAAGGCGGTTCAATATGCACACGAACTGCCATCGAAATTGAAAGACGTCAACCCACGACGATGATGATGATGATGGTGATGGTGGTGATGGTAATGGTGATGGGGACATGCTTACGCCGGATTTGCCGGCTGGCAATTGAAATGGGACGACTCTGGCCTGTCCTGGCCCTGTCCTGCCCTGCAGAGCGTTAAGTCTATCCATAAATTGCTGCCCCGTCAACTGTTGCATTGCCAGAGGGCTGGGCAGGATAATGTCATCGGTTGCGAGGATATGCTTTCGCATATATGTATATAGATATAGATATGCCATATGAGCACACAGCAGACATTTATGCATCGACGTTTTGTGTGTCGCATATTTCACTGACATAACTTTCGGTCAACCGAAAACTGGGCCAAAACTTTGTGGCTTGCCACTCCACAACATTCCCTCTGACATGTTTATCAACTCCACTCTGCTCGGGATACTGTTTTCCTCGATTTCATTCACCAGAAAGCCAAACAACAAAACAAAAAAATTGTGCATAACATTATGCCCTGTCCGCTGATGAATCAGATATAGCCAGCCCTTCATCTCACTTGGCTGCATTTTTATTCACTGGATTTTCCAGTGTGTTTATTTAGTATATTTTCCTTTTTTTTGTTGTACCCGTAGCAAAGCAATTTAATTATTTCTCGCTTTTTATGAAAACATTTTCATTTGCTAGTAATTTTTGTTTGCTTTTGACATTATGTAAAGTGCGTTGCGAAAGCATAATGAACTGTTTAAAGGCAATGAAAAGTAAAAAAACGAAAATAAAAACATTGCTTAAAGTATGTTGGAATTAATAAGAGAAAAAAAAGGAAAGATTGTAGTTTACATATCCCTTGCAATTTCCACTCAAAAAAGGATAAAGTCTGAAATCAATTCACAAGTAAGCTTACAATTTTCGCATTCTTTGAATCAATATTTTTGCAAATTTTTATATACAAATTTTCCCGTACCCCAAATCTTAAAAAACTCGTAACTTAGACAAAAAAGCATTAATTTCGATTCGAAAAACTGTTTTGTGTTAGTTATCAATAGGTTAATAAATCTGCATACCTAAATTACATTTTTAAGATATTCAAATCTTTGACAGTTTTTCAAGATTACAATAATGTAAAAATCTGGTATACAATTTCGAAAAAATTTTCAAAAATTTATTTTCCTTCCCACATGCCTAGAAAGATTCGCCTGTTAATGCTGATCAAGAATATATATGGTTTATTGGATCGGAAACGACTCCTTCACTCCATTATAAGCTTCTGACTGAAATTTTAATACCCATCAAGGTATCCTTTGGGTTGATATTTATCCTATATTTTTATATGCTAAAAATACTAATAACTAAGACAAAAATGCATTAAATTCGATTCGGAAATCTGTTCTGTGCTAGTTTTTAATAGGTTAATAAATCTGCATACATAAATTACATTTTTGATATGTTCCGATTTTTGTCAATTTTCCAAGATGTCAATAATGGAAAAATCTGGTACAAAGTTTCGAAAAAAAACTTCAAAAATTTATTTTCTTTCCTTCATTCCTAGAACGATTCTCCTGTTGATGCTGATCAAGAATATATATGGTTTATGGGGTCGGAAATGACTCGTTCACTGCGTTTTAAGCTTCTGACGGAAATTATAATACCCAGCCAGGGTATTCTTTGGGTCGATATTTATCCTATATTTTTATATGCTTTAAAATCTCATAACTAAGCAAAAAATTAATTAATTTCGATTCGGAAAGCTGTTCTGTGCTAGTTTTTAATAGGTTAATAAATCTGCATACCTAAATTACATTTTTAAGACATTCAAATTTTTGTCAAATTTTCAAGATGTCAATAATGCCAAAATGTCCCTTTAAAATTTTGAAAAAAATTTCAAAATTTTTTTTCTTTTCCTACATGTCTAGAAAGATTCGCCTGTTAATTCTGATCAAGAAAATATATGGTTTATAGGGTCAGAAATGACTCCGTTACTTCGTTTCAAGCTTCTGACTGAAAATATAATACTTTGTAAGGGTATAAAAATAACCAACTAGTAAGAGATTTTAAATGACTTATAGTCTATGGCTTTTATTAAATAAACCATTCGAAACCTGAAACATTAAAACAATGAACAGCAGAACATTAATTTGTAGTTGTTATTTGACCAATAAATTCCTCCTTTTTCCTACCGAGTCCCTGAGTTATCTGCACTATTTGTCCATTAACTTTAAGAACTTCGTCCTGGCAAGTAAAGTGTCCTGTTTCAACAACTCCTGTGTGTGTCCCTCGGCCGTATATAGATACGATGATATTCCAGCAAAGGCAAACACACGCAGATGCATAAATAACTCATATTCAATTGTTTAATATGAAAAAAAGTAAGTAAAGCAAACATTTTTAAAGCAGCTTACCAGCCAACGAAGAAAAACAAGGACAACTACAAATAAAAAATAAAAAAGAAGGGCATCCAATACATGTCTGTGAAAGGCCGCAAATTTATTTGCCATTGTGGTTACTTTGGACCAAGAATCTCTTCCCTATACACACACAAGGGTATTTTTTCAACTCGAGGGTTACAGGACACCAGAGAGGGAGAGGGAGAGAGAGTACATTTTTCATATGTTTTTCATGGGCCAGGACAGGCCTGGGCCATGCTTCATAAAGTCGCCAAACAAATTTTTTTGGATCGAATGCAACGTGTGTCCGGCAGCCTCCGATACAGGAATATATACTATATATATATATATATGAATATATGTATATATATTCGCTAAATGCCCATTGCCAAACGCAAACAGATGGGGCACAGCACTCAGCGCGGAAGCTGCTCGCACGCATTTATTAATTTTAATCATTTTTTTGACACAATTTCCTTCCGGCTGGTCGTGTTTTTTATTTTTATTTTTCTGACGTGGGTTTATTGATTGTCACCCCATTCATGAAATACTCTCAAACATTTTCCATCGGCCGTGTATTTAAACAATTTTTAATCGCAGCCATGAAAGCCTGGGGCCTTGCGCCCCGCCACTCAAATCGGTAAGCCCCATTTAAAATCAAACGAAGGCCACAGCGAAATTTATGCTAACCCCCCCTCTCAGCCAGAATGTGCCAAAAAATATGCTAAAATTATGTGAGTTTAAACCAAAATTTACTACACTTTGAAATGTGCCATGAAAAATGTTCATTGTGCGAGAGACGGCGGGACTGCGGGTAATTTATATGCGTTGGGGGGTATTCTCTTCTCCTTTCTTTTCTTTTTTTGTTGTATTTTGGAAAGGTTCCATATAGGTGTGGGTTTGTACAAAAGAGGCGCATAAATATTTTAGTGCCTATGTGCGGCACACATTTCGGATGGTATCCCCAAAGGATCCACCCGCCCCGCCCACAAGTGTCATGCAAATCCGCATCCGTTTTATATAAATTTTCATAATGCATTTTATGCCCATGGTTTATGTATATTGGCGACCTCTCCCCCAGCAAAACATATAGATTTCTGATATATATTAAATATATAGATGTATAAAGGGGGATATTTGCGACGCGTGTGGCCAGCAATTGAGCTGGTAATTGCAATATAAATGCACAATAATGAAATGATTCGTTCAAATAATTTTCGGGCGAATCAAAATGTTTTGTTTGGTCGCGTTTTCGTTTACTCGATTAATTGCTCAATGAATTTTCCATCTGAATGATGATACATTCATCGTACACTTTAAATTAATGAGGTCAAATTGGGTCTTTAAATTAGGAAATGCAATTGGATTGTCCATGTCCTGTGTGTCCTGCTTATTGATCAATAAATATGGACTGTTGAAAGTGTGTACAGAAAAAGGATGAGCAAGGTAATCTCTTGGTTTTGTTGGATTTATTGGTTTTCAAAATAAGCTAAAGAATTATTAACTTTATTAAATTAGCTTGATTCTTTGCTGATATCCTACAGAAATTATCACTTAATTAAATCTATTGTAGAGTTAATTAGGAAGGAGTTTATGAACGATATGAAATGAATTTAATAAACTTAATTTCTGTATAAAATAATCGCTTTAAGATTGTTCTAAAGAGTTTAATACAAATTAAAATAAATAGTAATTTTCAAGACCTTAAAACATTTATTAATTACTTTAATAAACTAGGGAGAATCTTTAAATTATCCTACAAAATAAATATTTTAATAAAATTGTATATTTTTCCCCCACTTTTCAGAGAGGGCGAGGATGGCATCTGGGAGCAGCTGGCCAGGATCTATACAAAGACAAATGCCACATCATATCAGGTGACAGGACTCACGCCCTTCACTGTCTACAGCTTTCGCCTGTTGGCGGTCAATAAGCTGGGCATCAGTCCGCCGTCCAAGGAGTCCTACTACATAGTCACGCTGCGCGAAGGTGAGTCCCGAGTCCTTTCCCTTATCCTTATCCTTATCTTACGTTACGCACTTTATTGGACCCGAAACCATAAACTATTTCGCGTAGGCTGTTCACATGTCATAACAAATTTACTATATAGAGAACAGGACCGGAGTTAAGTTACGCGACATACATGACATAACAAATTTTACAATCGCATTAATTTTTCATTTGAATTCCGAACGACTTGGCCTGACTTTTAAGTGCCCCGTCAATGAAAAGTTGTCATGGCCTCAGCCCCGCTTTGGTCCCTCCTCTCACCCCGGCAACTGCCAGCAATTACGGCCTCATAAAGCCCGGCGGAGTCTCCTCACGTTGTATACGTTTAATTATTTTTCCGCTGACGGTAGGCCATCCGCCTAGGCCCGGCCAGGTGTGTCGTCATTTTATGGCGAGGCTCCGGTGAGGGTAAGGGATCCTTGCTCGTCCTTTCACGGATGCACGGCAGCCTCGCAGCAACATTAAATGCGTCCGCCTTGGCTGAAGGAAATTACAACTGCGGCCGCAATAATAGTTATCACGCAAGGAGTATACTTTTGTTTTGGTATTTAAATATTTATATTTGTTGGGTTTTGTACTTATAAAAAAACAGAATATTGTAATAGAGACAATAAAAGGATTTAAAGTGGAAATAAAACTGGTAGAAAATATCGGTATATTTATATTGTATCTATACATTAGACGAGATGTAAAAGTTGTGATACTTTATTACTACAATAACCTTTATTATATATCGAAGCGGAAAAAGGGACAACAGAACAGTTATTTTTCGCTTACATCGATAATTTTCGATAAATCGATAATTAAAATATCAATGCATAAAAATGTATGATCACTTCAATAAGATTTTGAGCGCATTATTTTTGTTCATATTCAAAATCGACTTCCACTTGAGTTTATAATATTATAGGTATTTCCAGAGTTATATGTTTTTTTAATATAATTCTAACATTACATTAATAACCTAATGATAAAATATAACATAATAAAGCTTCAATATTTAAAGTATATAAAAATAAAATATATATAAGAAGAAGTCACCATTTTTTTACCCTCTATAGTACCCCTGGAAAAGTGAGTTTTCGGCACACTTAAATTTTAGAGGCAGCTTTTATTTCATTAGCATGCGATGACAAAAGCCTACAAACTTCATTGCCGCAAAGTTTTTGAGGAAACTACTTCTCCTTACTGAGTGACATTCTGTTGTTTTCTGCCTTTGATGCACTAATTTCGGTGCCGAATGCCTTAAGAATTCATGTCACTTGGCTGACATTTCACCTGCTGCTGTTACTCTGTTGCCTTGACTGCCCCAGACAATGATTAATCGTATCGCCAGTGCGTGTCCCACATATAGTATATCGTCCATATATGACGTTATTATACATATATACACAAATGGACTCTGAAAAGTCACAAAACTTTCCGTAGGCTTTAAGCGCGCGAGACACATTAATCAAAGGCAAAGTAGCAGGAACAGCAACAGCGACAAGCTATTAGCAACACATTTGTCTTACGGACATTGGAAATGACTTTGCCAAGGCACTGTTAGAAAAGCTTAAGGAATAATTAATAATTTGCTTAAAATAGGAATAGATTGGGAACATCTTTAAATTATGAAGAGAATTTTTTGGGTTTTTAAACCAATAAAAATTAAAGAACATACAAAGGACACCCACTAGAGCTTCAAATTGGTTCTAAATTCAAAAGAGCATGTTACAATTTATTTCTTTCAGTGCTGGCATTTTGGGTTTCGGTGTGAAATTCCATTTATGCCGCCCTGCCACGCACAATGGAATGCGACCCAAGCTGCCGATGCTGCAACACATGCGGTTACAAATTAGTCAATAGTGTGTTGCCGCGCGTCCTTAGCTCCTGAGAGCTCATTAAGGTCCTTCTGGTCCTGGTCCTTCGAGCTATGAATGTGTGTGTGCTGCGGTCGCCGGCCGAGTTGCCAATTTGTATAAATTAAGCCAGCGGCATGCATAAATTAACCAAATGACACACACCTAACAGCAGCAGCGCGATGCTGAGCGCGGATATCTTGAATCTAAGCGGCGGAAAAAGCGAAAACTTTTCAATTTGCCAAAAGCAAACTTTCTTCGGCATCAATGTCAAGCCGAAAGACACAAAATATCTTTTAATTTATTTATAAATTCATTGAGCTATGCCAAGAATTTCACCCTCCTTTTTCGTGGAGAAAGCAGCGCCTGGCAAACTGCCAGATCATCCCTAGCTCACCTGGTATACACTACAAAAAAAAGGGGTAATTCATTTAGAAAATGAAGTATTTAATAGGATTAAATTAAGAGCGAAAAAAATAAGGTTTAAATTGCGAGAATTTTGACTTCTGAAAACCCCGAAAATATGGAAAACCGAGAACAATGTTCTAAAAGATAACTTTTGAGCAAACAGTAAAATCTCTGGGACATTTTCAAGCACTTGAATGCTACTTTTAGCGAATTAATCTCATTAATTTTGTTCAGTGTACCTTCTGAGACACACGCATCATTTAACCTGCGAGTAATGCTCACAGACAGGACCAACAAAAGGGAAACGGATGCGCGAATAGGCAAGGACTCCAGGAGCCAAAGGATCCCATGCCACAGCAAGTCCTAGGGTAAAAAAAAAACAGGCCTTGGCACTTGCAACTTATGTTGCGTGACAGTGACAACTTGACAATGCCACAGACAACGTTCCGCTTTACATGACAGGTCAGGGGTTCAGCAGCTCGGTCGCACAAAAACTTTTGCGCGGCGTTTTTAATTTCGAATTTTTGAGTTAGAGAACTTTTTGGCAGGCCCTCCTCCCCACCCAGAGAAAGTTTTCTAGGAATTACCCAATCTAGTACTCATGACTCTCTCTTGACTTAATCTCTTGCAGCTCCCACGGGCAAGCCCATACCCACGACGGCCCACAACACGTCCTCGACATCGGTGTACATCTCGTGGAAGCCACCGCCGCCGGATACCATACTGGGCGAGTTTCTGGGCTACCGCATTACATATCGTCCTCGCGATCGGGATCCCAACGATACCAAGGAGATCTACATAAGGGACAATACCGTGGAGGTGAGTTTTCCGGGGTGTCCTGGCTGCCCTGGTTGCCCTAAGTCTCCTGCTGACTTTCCTATTTAGTTGTACGCGGCAACAATAATTGAATTTCATGATTTCTGACACTTTTGCCACATGGCAAATGCAGTTTAGGAATTCAAATGCAGTGAGAGAAATTTGTGTTTAGGAAAATAATATAGAAAATAAAAAAACTCAGCTTTTGAGCTAGAACTTAATTGTAAGAACCTTAAGTTAACAAGAAAATGTAGCCTTGCTTTGGGAGTTCTGAAACTCATTTTATTATACATTAATTATATGATCTTTGTGTGTCCTTTCTTCTGTTTAATATCTTATAAATTATTTAGTTTTAATAATAATTAATTTATTAACCCCAAATTTTTCCCAAGTGCATACCAAATAGAGAGCCAGCTTTCGTGTCCCGCCTGCAGCGTCATTCAATTTAGCTTTGGTTTTCGGGGTTCGGGGTTTGGTTTTCAGTTCGTGTCTGTCTAACTTGCCACGTGCATATCATTTTCTTAGCTCGAGGATTTCCCAGTTTTCCCGGCTTAAAGTTTTGTCTAAAAATGTTTCCGAGTGTGAGTGTGCTTTTGTGCCCTGTCATTCGCTGGCTTAAAGTCACATCAGCGGCGGTATTAAAAAGTAATTTACACCTGGCCAAAAGGAAAACATTTCCCAGACACCCACAGAAATGCCAGCAGGGTTACAAGTGTTTTTTCGGTGGCCACCTGTCAAGGTGTTGCCATATCTCGTTTGGGGACCAAAACCCCCGCCGATATCACAGGCAATTTGTTAACGATTAGTTCTCAGCTGGGGCCAGTGTTCATTCTAGGCCAAAAGCAGTGGGTGTGTGTGTATGCCTTGGCACGCAACTTGGCTAATGAAGAAAGTCCCAGGAAAATGGGGAGCGGGAAATGAACGGAAAATAAGGGAGGGAGAAATATTAGGGGGCGAAGCCCGGGACAAATATCTTGGGAATACCTTTCAATAAAAGATAAGTTTAGCTGAAAGGAAATAACAAACACTTAATCTTGTTTTGTTGAATTGTTTACGGGATGATTTTATTTTAGTTGATGAAGCTTATTCCTTACCTAAATATATGGAAATACTATAAATAATAAACACATATTAAACATAGCTATAAGAAGTGTAAAAAACATAGAAATTCCAGGAATTTTGTCAAATATGGGAAATGAATTCCCGGCTTAAGTCCTTTTAAAAAACTGAAAGCCAAACCCCTGCCGGCCAACTTCTTAAAGCCATTCAAAACCAAATATAGAAGCCAGAGCAGAGGGAATGCATGCCGGATGCATTTGCAGTCTTAAAAATATGCAAAAATTATTAGCGATAATGCTCACGTACGACACTCGAAAAAAATAAGCCAAGCACACACCCACTCTGCCTGGAAAAATAGAAAAATTTTGGGAGGCGAGGAAAAATTCGAGGGAAATGGGGACGTAACAACGGCTGATTGCCACAAGCGCGGCACGCTTTTGTGCTCGAGTGCATATTTTGTCCTTATCTAGACGCAGCTAGCCGTCTCTGTCTCTATCGCAGGACCAGCTCTATCTGGCTGCTCCTTTGCATGTCGCTGGCATGCTGAAATATTATCCTTGCAGGCAGAAACGTGCGACTTTAGTTATGCTTATTTTTTATTCTTTTTTGTTGGGTTCGTGAAAGTAAAGTGCACAAGGAGAAAATGTATTTACAAAATAGATTTTGTCAATTGAATAAATTGAATAAACTTAAACTTAAACCTTAATCGATTTCAAAAATGCCGAGAAAAAGGACTTGCTGTTCCTAGTTTCAATCAAAAAACCCTTAAGTTTTGTCCATAATATTTCTCCAGATGCACAAGTTTTATTTTTTCGCCCTGCTCAAGTCATTTTGGTGGACTCCAGGACATGGCTTTCTGTTATTCCCATATCGCAGCATCAGCATTCAGGAGCCTGCGGCTTCTGTCGACCTGCCACGCCCCGTTTTAGCGCCCCTCTCTCTTTTGGCCAGGGGCAGCTCACATTGAGCTGTCACGTGTGAGGTGGAAAATTTCAGTTTTTCACCAGCTTCGCCTGCAGGGCTAAATTTGCCAATTTTCTAATTAAAATTTCTGCGCCGTAAAGCATAAATTTCGCAACTTTTACGTAGATAAAAGCCGGAAAGTCGAGTCACACGATACCTCAAAGGAACTTGTTCCGCACAAAAAAAAAACTGGACAGAAAAAGGACTCTATTCCGACACCGATATTGTTGATGAACAAGACTACCAGAAAAAAATAGAAAAGCAAATAAAACAGAAGGTTCAGCGGGGAAAAATTGTGTATAAAAGTGTGGAGTTTTTCACAGGAGCCATTCAGGATTTGTTTGACAGATGAAATTTGCATCTGTCTGTATATCCAGAATTTCCTTTTTCTGTTTCGCCAGAATCCTTTTCTTTGCAGCACCATCAAGACCGCTGGGCAGTAATTAACGCAGGGACGAAAAAAAGGAATATTTAGATGCTTATCTTGCCGCTTCACACTTTCAAAAGTTATGCAATATGGCGGCAAGTTGTGGCAACTTTATCAATTACATTATATCAATTACGATGGGGCATGCGGCACGCGGGGAGCATTGCCCTTGGGCAGTTCCAACTTTCTGCTGACCATAAAAATAAAAGCAGTTGTAAATTTTTCGGCCTCATTTACTGGCGACTAAATAAAATGGAATTATATGACCCCCCAAACTAGTATCACATAAAGAAGCAGTAAATCCCAGCAACTACGACAATTGTGGCTAGGAAAATATGTCATCAATTTTCTTTAATAATAACTTTTAATCAAATAATTGCTTAGTATAAGTTTTAGTTTCTCCTTAAGAAACTTTAGAAATCACATGTAAACCTGATTTATTAGTCTGAGTAAGGGTCTTAAAAGACTTTCCATGAATTTATAGAGCTATTTTCTCAACCGCAACTGTAAAGGGCCTACAAAGATATCACGCTTTTCCAAAGGGGGGATGGGGGCATAACTGCTGCGATAGTGGCTGGCGCCGTCTGAAAAGCCCAGAAAGTAGCCACTTAAGCTGTTGGCATGGCAGTCAATCCGCTGCTAAGCACAAGCCTAGAATTCGCACAGTCGAAAACCCGTTGGTTTTGCGGTTTAACCGCAGACGAACTCACACACACACATATACATGGAGAGATACACAGGATGCTCGCCCGCTCGTACACAAATTCAGCTGGAGAAGCCGAGCGCTCTAATGTATGCTACATAATTTGCGCTCGCCTCAGGCAGCTGACCATTTGCAAAAGCCGTGTGAGTGTGTGTGTGTGTGTGTGTGTATTAGCGAGTGTGTGTAAGCGGTGTGTTAGTTAGCGTAGCACTCTAAGTCTGCGGCTTGTTTTATGGCTTCGCACTGCTTTTGACCTTTGGTTAAACTTTAATCAGCCGGCACTCTCGCTCGCGGAAATTCATGGACAAAGCCAGCGAAACGGACTCACTTATGGCCAAATCCAATGGGATGCACTGAGGGGAAAAGTTCTAGTGAAAATTTACTCTTTCTAAAATTTTTAGAATTTAAAAAAGAGGCAAAGAATTTATTTTTAATTTCATATTTCCCTTCAAAGACAGATTTTCTTTGCAAAAAATATTGTCTTTACCAGAAATGAATATTTATTATATTTTTAGCAACAGAATGCTTTCAGTTTATATTTTATAATGTTGATTTAGTTATTTTTCAATCTAAGAATATTACCCTTTACAAATGAAACTATATTTTACATACAAATATTAATATATTGTTAATTTCCACTTTTTTTCTCAGTTCCCAATTTAATTTATTAATTTTGATTTTATATTTCTTTCTTTATTAAATTGTATTATTTTTTTACTGTGCATATATGTGTGTGTGTGTGTGCTTTGCGGCAATTAAGGCAAAGACTCTTTGGTCGTTGCCCAAGCAACTCAATTTCCTTTTGCACCGACCAACATCAACGCAGCAGCAACTGCAAATCAATTTTAAGTGCTGCAATTTTCATATTTGCCAACGGCAACGCACAAAAGTATGCAACGCGCAATTTCCGCTCCAAGCATGCACAATGCTCAACGAGGAGGAGGAGGTGGAGGAGGCTTGAGGGGGAGGAGTTTTCTCGGGGGCGGAGCGGTGCGGGTCGGGGGGTACTTTTCCAGGGGCTGATGCTGCAGAGAACCACTTGCTGGAAGTGCTCCACTTTATTTTGTTATGCGCCTTCAACGGCCAACAAATGAAAAGTCTTTGGTGTGGAGTGCACGGCGGGAAAACAAATTAAATAGGGAATATTGGTAGAAAAAAATTGGGAAAATTACAAAATATATATAGGATTTTCAATTAACTGTGTACCAAATTTTAGCAGTGACAGCTTTGAAGAATTAGTTATTTATATAAATTTAGAAAAGGTGACTTTAGAAGTACCTTTAAATTTTAAAAATATTTAATAAAGCATACTAAAGTAGTTACAATATGCAATATTTTTTTTATTTCTTTACTAAAATATTAATTTAGAAATATAAAAATATATTTTGATTTACAAAAAAGTAAAGAAACTTCTGATATTTATTTTATGTTTAAATTCTTGCTACTGTGGAACTAATTTCAAAACTAAGCATCGCAAAATTCGCTAGAAATTTACGAATTTTATTTTATTTTGAAAAGTGTTTAAAAGTACCCAATAAAATACGTTAGGTAACATGTTTAGGTACATTTCTAGAATACTATTTGCAGATTTGTTACATTTGTAATATAACAAATTTAATGAAATTTAAACAACACTTTTCCCAATCACCTTTAATTATTTCTTTCCGTGTACCTTTAGTGTTTGCATTTTAAAGCGGCAGTTTTAAATGATTTCAACCCCAACAGAACTGAATTGAACTGAAAAATCTCCTTCTCGCTTTCAGAGTCATGAAATACAGAATCTGCAGACATACACGCAGTACAAGGTGACCGTGCAGGTGTTCAATCCGGAGGGACTGGGACCGGAGACCACCATTCTGGTGATGACCGACGAAGGAGGTGAGTGTTCGACCCAAAATAAGTGCAAGTGCCAGAGCAGTTTTCAGATTCAGATGGAGATGCATGGGATTTTCCACAGCCCGGAATACCCGGCCAGATACATTATCAATGATGCATGCCACAGAGTGCTTGCCCCTGGGGAATTGTGGCTGTCAGGCATTCAGACGATGGCCGCAAGTCAATAAGTTTTTGGCCAGGCCAAAAGTATTTCTCGCATATGCACGAGTATCTTTGAAACCGAGAAATTCCAAATATTACGGCTTATTGACATGCCAGACAAGTGACCAAGACCGTAATGCTTATAATATATATACATCCGATCCGATACAAGATGCAGATGCAGATGCAGTAGTTGCGTCAAAAACAAAATTCGCCTTTGTGTGCAGTTTTAGTTTTTCCGCTCACTTTTTCCCACTTTTCCCCAGCTCCTTGGCCTCTGTGTGGGAAAAAAGCAACTTTGAGATTCGCTCAACCACAAAATGCCTCGCCCATGCAATGAAGCAAACAAATAAAAGTTTAACTCCGACCAGAGGCTAAGGAAAATATGTTGCAATTTTTCATATTTTCCACCCCTTCCCCGCTCTCCTCTGCTTTGGCATATTCCAGCAGCTTTTCCGCTGCAGACCGCAGTCTGTATTGAAATGGAAGAAGAATTCTCTCTTTTTCTCGCACAAACAAATAGAAATACAAAATAAATATTGCTTACTTAAACTTTTGCCATATGCTGCTCAGTCAGCAACAAAAACTGCCCAGGCATGTCCTTTCTATTTCGAGGTTTTCTCCTTTTCTTACTCCGTTACTTGGGCTGGGAAATTGGGTATATTGTTTCCTTGGGAAATGAATACTTGCAAAGGAAATCGTACTTAATTTTGATGGTAAATTCGGAAAGTGAATAGATTGCAGCATAAATATATTTAAATATCAAAAAGAGTTATATACCTCTATTCTATTCCTTAACAATTGATTAATATTTCTTATTTCTCATATTAATATTTGTATTATTTTGTATTATTATTCTACCTATTCTAAGGTTTTTCCTTGCCTTCTATACATTATTCAAATTATATAATGAACTTCCTATTACTTAACCCCCACAAAGTCTGCCAAAGACCGGGTATCCCATGGTCGGGGCAATTCAGGCGCTGCCTTTTGTTATCCTTTTTCGCCATTGTTACGCCGATTCCTTTTGAATCCTGGACGATTCCGCCACGTGGATTTCCGGCGGCATCGTTACACTCCGGGTATCGCCAGACGACGACGCCGCCGCCGCCGCTGGCGGAAGTGTTGATGCCATAGACGCCGGCCGGCTGATGTCGGCGGAACGTAAATTATAAGCATTTGGCCATAAATAATATATATATAAAATCGGGCAGAACGGATAAAGAACTCCAACGTGTGCGGATTTATGGGATGGGATTTAATTTCCTGCAGTCAGCGCAAATCTGTTTGCATAAGCATGCCGAGATGTCTTGGGCAAATATTTCCCAGCTTCGCGAGCGAAGTTTTTCCCAGCGCTCGGCGCTAAGACCCGAAAACTCTTTTGAAAGTTGCCAAAAAAGCTTAGCGGCATAATTAGCATAAAATTCTGGTGAAAATCCTTTGGCATCTCCAGCTCCAGCATCAGCTTCAGCCGGAAACCGAATAAAATCAGATTCGATAAAAACGAGAAAAATATGCAAGGAGGCAGGTAGCTCTCCCGTATGGATTTGTCTCTCGTATTATTATTATTATTATTTTTCCCTTTGCGGCTAAGCTGCTTTGAGTGAGTGGTGGGAAAAAAAAGAAAGAAAAATCTATATAACTCTGGATTTTTGCGACAGCTGGCATAACTCTGTAATTTCCGAATTTTCCACGTTTCTTCCGCAACATTTTTGTGTGTGTTTGTGTCGCAAGGTAACCTGGCAGGTGCAGACGGGCAAAGCTTTCCTGGGGATTTGCAGCGGCTTAAGCAGCAACTTTTGGCCAAGGCCAAGACCGGGAACAGGACCAGTAACAGGACACAGCTGCTCCTAATAGAATCCTGCCAATTCCGTGTGGGAGGCACAAGAATAGGCAGGATGGCAGAGCCGATGCGCGTGGCAGTTGATTAATTACCCTCGAATATTTGCCACAAAACAGCCGCAAATAGCTGGTAAAACCAAAGCGGAAAATTCCGGCACTTAAAGAAAATATTTTAGTATATATTAGCCCAAGAAAAAAAAGCTCTAGCAATTTCCTGGCAAATATTAGGAAATTATTACAATCTTTTATGTGAAGGAAGGATTTTGGGAGAACAAGTACTCAAGTACTACTAACAAATAATCTCCAAGCTTAAGCAGTAATTAATGATGCTTTAGATATAAATCTTTTCGTATATTTCACACCGAAATTTCTCTAATATTCCCACAGTGTATGCTAAATTAAATTTTCAAACTCAAGAGAGCGTAACCAAAGAAACTCGTGCTGTGGCCGCCGCCTGCAACACACGGACCACATGCGGTGAAAATTATGAAGCCTTGCAGTGCAGCTTAGCAGCAACGTTGAGGCGGGGTCATGAAATCCAAGGAAATCCAGGGAAATCCAAGCAAGGAAATCCAAGCTGAAGGCACAACCAGATAATGTCCTTAGAAGGGAACTCAACCGGCGATTGCAAAACAATTCTAAGGCTTCACCGAGAGCTCTTTGCACTCTCCTTCGACTTTGGCCGCTGTCTTTGATTAGATATTTTCCACTTTCCTTTCGGTCCGTCTGCCTTTGTTATTGCGTTTTAACTTTTGACATTGGGCCCAGTCGCAGTTCGGACTTACGGACAACGAGATCCTTTCCAAATGGTCTTGTTTTCCTCCTCGTTTGCCTCGGCACGCACTAGGATTTCATTTTGCCAAGGGTCTAAGGGGGGAACCTCTTGTGGCCAAGGTGCATTTTTTTTCTTTCTATCTTTTACGTACTGATTATAGGAAGAGTATACTGTTTACAAGGATATTTTTGTTATGAGAAAGTATTTAGCATACTTTAAATAGAATGTAAGCACGGTTTAGAAAGACTACAGGTTAAAATAAATTATATATTTTTGAAATTGATTACAAGTTTAATATTTACAATAATATTTTAACTTGTACCTATTTTTATATCAAGTTTATTTAGCATCTTTTATGCGAAAACCCTAGTAATTGATGTATCTCCTGGTGATTTCTTTTATGTATGTAGTACAGGGTATTTCTTAGCAAGTACTTTTTTCTTACTAAGTCTTTGTACCTTTTTTCTTGTTGTACTGCACTGCAGACAGTTCAAGGGGCGTTGGGTGTCCTTTAACTTCCCCCACTTTCCCCCGAAACACTTGTCGCTCCAAGGAGCCAAGGAGGAGACAGTTGTTGGACATTCGTAATGGCTTTGTGCCTGGTGTTTCCCTGATAACTTCGTTTCGTTTTCATTTCGTGTACGTTGTACATTGTACGTACATGGGAAAACACTTGATAGTCCCGTACAACTTTTGACTTTAACGCGTCCCCGAGTGTCCTTTGCTCCCTTAACCTGTCCGGCTTAAAAGGATAAACTGAGCTGGTTAAGACCTAGACTGACACGGGAGCACTAGTTGGTGGTGCAATTTAATTTGTCTGTTACTCGAGGGCCTCGGGAGCCGCCGGCTGCTCTCTTTAAAATCAAATTTATAATTCAAACAACCTGCAGCACTTCAAATGGCTTTGACTCGCCGCCCTCACTCTCTCTTTCGGCCAAAATGCAAAATCAACGCAGCCAAAACAACCGCTCCATTAGACGCGTTGCCAAGGGCATCAAATGAAGCGCAATTTTCAGACACTGAAAATTTGTAAATGTATGAAAAATTTAATTTGGATAATGTTCTCTGGAGTTAGTAATAAATTTTCTATAGATTGCTTTATGAGCTGCAGTTGAAACAATCGATAAAATTGTCTTCTAAGGTTTCAGTTTATATTGCAGCAAAACATTTTAATAAAATAATTTTAGAGGAATTTCGACTTGAAATGAATTATTTCATTTAACATTTGATATTTTTGTTTACAAATTTTCAGTAAGTAAGAAAAATCTGATTAAAATTAAAAGATTTATAACCCTTTCGTACTGATTTCATTTTTCGAACTGTGCAATTCCTTAAAGATACTATTATCCTTAGAGCTCCGCTGGCAATTTATCACCGCCCGTTTGTCAAACGCCCACCCCAAAAAAGAAGGGGGCGCGGTCGCGTTGCCTTTTTCCACAGCCGCTGCAAGCCAGGAAAATTAATAGACACACGCACAGAGAGAGAGCGAGAGAGTTTCCACCAGGTGGAAAAGGAGGAGCCAAAAAAATATGGCAAATCGCACTTGCATTTGAGGAGATGCTGCCACTCCTTCAGTCTAAAGTAAATGGAAAATGCAAGAGGAAAATCCAGAGGGGGGAGGGGATCGCAAGATGGAAAATGGGAAATCCATTTGCAGAGAGAAAACACGCGGGACTGTCAAAAGCTGGGCGACCGGAATCCGCCGGCGACCAAGTTTGCAGCTACAAAATTAATTACCTTTGGCTACTTTCAACTAGCTGCGGTTTTCTCTCTGGGAAAACTCCAACCCCCGGGAAAACACCACCCCGCCTCCTACTGCCTACTGGTTCAGTGCATCCGCTGGCCCAGCCGCAACTAGGAAAAAATGTTATATATATATAAATACCAGATAGTAGGACCCAAAACTCTGGGCACAAGCAGTTTCCTTTCGTGGAAAACTGCGGGCGGCTAACGGAAGTGACAAGCTGCAACCTGTGAACGAGAGGGGGGAAGGGAAAGCGAGGGGAAATGCAACTACAACAACATCGGCAAGAAGCGACAACAACGCAAAGAGATAAAACACCAGGGAACTAAACTTTCCTTCGGCCAGAATGAATACTTAATACACTTTCAGGTCGCCCCCGGTGGAGATCTAATTGAGATGGGAATTAATTGTGGATTTGGGTGGGACTTTCAAGGGATTTTGTAGGGTAAGAATGGTTTAGGGATATATTTTATACAAAAT